GACGAGCAACTCAAGTACTATTATACCCCTTTAGAAAAAAATAAATCTTAAAATAATTTTCCCGGATCCAATGGCTAGAAATAATTAGAGGTGGAGTTACATGAAATTATAAATCGTAACTCCTCAATCACCGTAAAAGAGCTCATAATAGTTATGTTGACCATAGAGATTACTTTTTTGCTGCCGTTAGAATTGATTCACATACGTGATACGTACCAAGATTACACAGTTCACAAAATTGAATCTTTGGAGACGGCCCTCTTAAACTATTCAGCAGCATTACCTTAACAACAGTGTAGCAGTGTAGCAGTACTTGTTAGTGCAAAATGTCAAGATCAACGATGCCAAGAAAGTGGAAATAAAGAGGAATTATATAATTATCAAATCAAAATTATTGTATGAGCTGTTATGAGAAATATATATATGCTTCGGCTTACCTGAAAACCAAGATAATTAAGAGCAAAAAGAGTAACCAACGCTTGACGAAGTTTCAATGATGGGCAAACCGGATGCAAAGTTTCAATATGCCCTCCTCTTTTGTTTGTTAGCTCCATGCATGACATCATTTGTGCCAGCTTTTTCCTAGATAACCATTATCTATGTATTTATTCCATATATAAATGAATGATTATGCATGTATCAATTCGTCTCAGTGGGTAATTCCACATGGATCTAATCCTAGAACATGTAGATTTTTTTTTTATTTTTTAAATGAAGGAATAATCATAAAACAAATTATGTATGATGAGCTATTTGGGTAAGATAAAGATCTGAAAACTGGCCATAGGGCAATTGCTTGTCTCTGATGTAGGACAGGCTAGACCATCCACAACTCTATCTTTTCATTATATTTAACTTCAGTTAGTTTGAAAGACACAATCATATCCGACATGAACACTTACAATCCTTTATAACTATAGGTATATTTTATCCTACAACTTTTCTAATAGATATGTATATGCAGTGGCGTGCTTTATTTGACCATTCACGTTCACTAAATTGTCAACCAGCAGTTACAAAGACCCAAAAGTTTAGGTAAATCTGTGTGTGGAAAGCCGTTAACCACAAATGAAGCATCGTCAACTACTTGGAAAGCAGGGATCATAGAAAATCGACAACGTTATGTTCGTTCTTTAAGCCTTCTGGTACCATGAAGTACATATAAGGCAAAAAAGAAATGGAATAGCTGATCCATACCATCTGAAAAACAGTTATGATCAAATTCATCCACGAACACTTTATGGCAATCATCATCATGAGATTCCTACAGAGAATAACAGTTATGATGCTGTATTATTTATGAACCACATGCCAAATTGAACATGGAAAATGGCCACCATTCAACAAATAGGGCAAGTAAAAGGATTGCTTAGCACCAGAGTGGCTCAGCACTCATACTTAGTGGCTCAGCACCAGAGTGATCATTACAAAAGATCCCAGTTGCATCATCACATGAATGCCATAACTGCAAATACACGACAAGTAAGAAATGAAAGTTCTGTAAAGGCAGTTAAAACTGAGAATCAATACAAAGTCTGAATCTCCTAGTGACTGTTTTTTCACAACAAAAAGGTTCTGAACCCAAGTTTGGTACTCCACACTGCACTAAGAGTTCATACAAAAGGTGATAAGATACGGTGTTTGCGAGATATCCATAAATCTGTTCCAGTGGTACAAGCCCAGGAAAGAGCATTGCCACAAATAATATGAGGGGAATGAATTGACATACACGCAAAAAAAAAACATCCACGCAAAAAAAATTGACACGTTGGTTCTCTAATGCACAATACGACTAGCAAGAGAAATTTCAATGAATTGTACCATGTTGAGTATTACCTACTGACTGAAATCAATGTAATTGAAATCACCGGGACGAGCTCCTTAATGAGAAGGGAGGAGGGAGATACCTTTTTACTCTGGAAAGCTTCAGGTGAGCTCCTCCACTGGTCTTAATCCAGTTTACCAGATCCACATATTCAAAGAAAAAAATGTCAAGAACTCCATGAATCAAACCACGCTTGCCACTTGCAAGGGGGGTGCGCTCACCTAATGGATGATGGCGGGCGACATTTTGGTGATGGACACTGCAACGATGAGGAAGAGGCTTGGGCGCTGCGGCCAGAAGGAACACGGCCGAGGCGCTGCGGGAGATAGCTGGGGATGGGAGTATTCCTGGTGGGGAGCCATCGCGTCATCACTGCGTATGATGGCAGAATCGGCACGCGAGGGTTTCCGCGGGGGCGGGACTCCGGCTACGGTGCCCGTGTAGAGGGTGGACATGGGTCAGGCTGGCTAGCCTTGGCGGGCCAGAATCGGTGACGAAGGGCTGGCAAGGGGCGGGGCTCTTGGCGGGATAGATCCGGCGACGGAGGACTGGCGCAAGGCAGGGCTCTTGGCAGGGTAGATCCGGCGACAAAGGATTAGCGTAGGGTGGGGCTCTTGGTGGGGCAGATCTGGCGACGGAGGACTAGCACGGGCCGGGGCTCCGGGGCTCCGGCTGCAGTGCCCATGCAGAGGATGGATTGCCGGGAGAGGAGGCGGCGGTCACCCGTGTTGCGGGATAAGAGGCTCTAACATGGCGAATTTTGTGACTTTGTGATGTGAGGAGATGACTGGATCGGCCGGACCATATTGCCATGCGGAATTTTACAAAGTAAAAATGTCGGATTTACCCTATGAAAGACTAATTGGTCCCAACAAGTAGGAAATGAATGTAGGTTCTGTAAAGGCAGTTAAAACTGAGAATCAATACAAAGTCTTAATCTCTGGTAACTCTTTTTCACAGCACAAAGGTTCTGAACCCAAGTTTGGTGCTCCACACAACACTAAGAGTTCATACAAAAGGTGATAAGATACGGTGTTTGCGAGATATCCATACATTTCTTCCAGTGGTACAAGCCCAAGAAATAGCATTTGCCACAAATAATATGAGGGGAATGAATTGGCACGTTGGTTCTCTAATGCACAATACAACTAGCAAGAGAAATTTCAATGAATTGTACCATGTTGAGTATTACCTACTGACTGAAATCACTGTAATTGAAATCACC